ATCAATAGAGAAGAAAGATGGAATACTAAGAAATGATCAATTCATCCAAAAGAAAGCAAGAGAGGAAAAAAATAACGAATAGATGAAACAAATAGACAACTATTGGCAACATGTTAGGCTTACATGTAATAATAATATTAATAATTACATTAGTACTAAATAGATTAATCATTTCAATTAAAAGGAATTATCATATTGCACTTAACAAAATCAAGAGCCAATAATACATGAGATATGAATTAAATATGAAGATAATGATAAATAAAAGGATGAAAAAGATATACCATGCAAATACTAATAATCAGAAAACTGGATTAACTTTTTCAGGCACAGAGTATTACTAGAGAAAACCAAAGTCATCTGATAATTATTTCCTAAAAATCAATAAGGAGAAGATACAGCATTCCTAAATGTGTATGTATCTAACAGCACAATTCCAAAACATACCAAGCAAAACTGCCAGAATGAATGGAGAATTAGAAAAACCCATAATTATATGTTTGCAGAACATCTGTTGTATTTTGGGTAGCTGCTTGTCAACTGTCAATACCACAAGCTCTATGCAATGAACTAGGAGACAGAAGTACTAATCACTACAGTAGGCCAATTAACTGGGATGCTCCATGAAACCAAGACCCTAAACCTCCAAACCAAAAAACCAGATCCTGTGTCTATATGAAATCCAGTTGGCAACAGCAACTTGAAAGATTAGATAGGAAATTTAGGGGTCAGTGAATTTCTCTTAATGGGTGGTGAACGATTTAGAAAAGGAAGATGAAAATAGTTAGACAATTTGAAGACTGTAAACAATGTCATTGAACTGTACAAACAGAGATTGTTGACTTGGTATGTTCTGCTGTGGATCTTTTCAACAAAAATTATATTAAAAAAAGTGAAAAGAATTTCATATATACTACAGAAAGGAAGATGGTATTTTTGAACAAAAAGAATTCTTAAAACCCAGTAATAAATCAAACTAGCAACTTTTAAGTAAAATATTCTTATCTCCTTATCTTAGCAGAAATAACTTGATATAGACAAAAAAGGAAAATCTGCAGAAAGTGTGATGTCGTGTGATTGTGATAACAAACTATTAAAGATGACACAATTTAATTAGTATCATGCAAATATTTTACTAACACATAATAAAATAACAATACGTAATTCATGAAATAAGAATAATGAAGTCAATGTAAAATATAACAGTTATGAATTTTTTTTCCTAAACATTCACAAGACTTTGTCAGACACTGATTTTGAATGACCTCACTGTATATGTGATGACATCATCAACATTTTTCACCAAAACACTGAAAAACATTCTTGAAGAGCTTAATTGCTTAGAGGTCTGTGTTAGGTTCCACCCAAAGAGAATTTTAGACACTGTCTTTCAAGATCAGCAGTTCACATTAGACTGTTTTTATTTATTTTAGAAAAATATATTAGTATCAACATAGAAATTAATTTCTTAATTACCCAGAAATGCAATATTTTAGCAAATTGCCTGTTTTAATTTTACCCTGTAAGTTTCTATTTTCTAACTGAGTTAAATCATTTTTATACCATTTATTAATAGTTTAAAATTAATTTTTAACATGAGAATTTAAAATTATACTTTTCTGAGAACATTTTATATCTTGCTTAATCTCTTACATATGATCACATAGTTGTTATTTATGATGCTTTATTAGTAGAAATAATGCTGCTAAGACTACCTGTGGGTACATAATAATTTTACTATTAAATTTTGTTCAGGAAAAATTCCAAAACTATTATGTCATATAGTATGATCATTATTATGACTCTTGAACTCTGCCATCAATGATTTAAAATGGGTCTTTACAATTCACCAATGATATGAGGATCCACTAATTTTATTATATCGTTGGTAGCTGTGAATATTTTTTTTATGATTTATTTTTCTAGATTATCTGGCATAAAATTAAGTCTCACTGTCCCAATCCTATATATTTTTTTAGCCACACTTGGGTACTAAAAGTATCAGAAGCATTAAAATGATCAGAAGCCATATTTTGAGATCTTTACATAGATGGAAACATTCTCTAGATTTTTCACTCAACAATGATTCACTGGTATGTGTCAGATGTTGTTCCAAGTGCTAAAGCTCTCTTTATATTCAGTCTCTTTTTCCCCTTATTCACCACAGTGTCACATTTGGAGTTCAGTCTCGTTTATTGGGGGCATCTGTTACCTTTCTGTTTCACCGTAGCTGTCATATTAACCTCCCCTTTGGCATTTCTAGCATGACAGACATAGCTTCGCTTGAGATCCTCTGGGGTAACTTTCTTGATGGTTAAAATCTGAATTCTGGTTTCATCTTCAATTTGAGTATAACTCATACTAGAAATAAGGGATAGAAAATCAAAGCATTAGTAAGACAGAAAGCCTATGCAAGGTGATTTGGGGCAATAGGTGACCACAGGGTAACCTAGGTGAGAGCTGATGGAATATTGATGAACTGTTGCCTGTGCTCCAGTAGGGACTTCTCGATTCCAATACTTTTCTTTACCCTCAATTATATACAGTGTCTTGATCAAATGCTAGTCTGAAGATCATAATAAGGACCTCTCTTCAAAGCACAGTATCTCCATTCCTCATGAACTTCTGAGGCAGGATGCTGAACCAGTTTAGAGAGCAGTTTCTGGAACCAGATCCACTTCGATTTGGATCTGAGTTCTAGCTATATACCTTGGGTAAATTTCTTTCTATGACTTCTCACTGTACTCTCATGGCTATGAAATCAATTCTGACTCATAGTGACCCTATAGAAGATTTCCGAAGCTGTAAATCCGTGGGAGCAGAAAGCCTCATTCTTTACCTCATGGAGCGGGTGGTGGGTTCGAATTGCCATGCTTGTGGTTAGTAGTCCAGTGCTTATCCCACAGTGCCAGCAGAGCTTTATTTCCATGCCTTAAGTCCCTCCTATTTAAAAAATGGAATGTAGCGATGCCTACATGGCACATTAAGTGTATTGATTTACTAAAGAATTCAGAACATTATGCATATTAATGTGGAATGTATTAGATCAATGCTGGTAATGTTTAATATTTTAAACCAAAGTGATCTGTAGGAATAAATAAATAATACACATTGTTATTATTTGGAGTCCTGGTGTGGCACAGCAGGATAAGCATTTGATTACAAAGTCGGTTTGAACCTCAGGTTCAGCAATTCAAATTAACCAGCTGTTCCTTGGAAACACTATACAGGGTCACTATGAGTAATAAACGACTCTATGGTACTTAACAACAACAATTTATTATTATTATCCTTTACTTTACCCATAGTAATAGCCAATGTATTTCAGAGATTCGCAAAGTTTGGATTCTAAACACAGGTAACAGATTTTTTTTCAAAATTCTGAAATTTCAGTTACCTCCTAGTATACAAAAAGAGAATACTGCTCAGAGCAAGAAAATTTTGTGAAAATAAATATATTAAAATCTCATGAGATCCAAAGAGCAGATACTCTGGGTCCAAGATAAAAACTGAAAAATCCCTTTGAACTACTCTGTTCAATGGGAGAAAAAAACACAACAACAACAACAACAACAACAAAAAAAAAAACAGCAAAATTTTCTCTCTTCTGATAAGGCTTGCTGTTGACCAAAAGAATTTGGGTCAGGGTTGTGATTGGTTCATAACTCCAGAGCACTCCCATAACATAGAGGCTTAACTCCAGAGTACTTCCATACATAGAGGCTTAACTCCAGAGTACTCCCATAACATAGAGGCAGCACAATTGTATTTTGAGATAAGAATGTTGTATATTAATTATCTGCTTTGACATGTTGCTGTTAAGTGCCATCGAGTTGATTCCAACTCATAGCGACCCTGTAAATGGTTTCCAAGTAGTGGTTGGTGAGATTGAACCACTTACCTTAGGGTTCAAACCAAACCTGCAATCCAGTACATTAACCCACAGCACCACACCAGGACTTTGGCATACACTGTTGGTTTTTGTTTCAGTGTAGGCAAAGGGTGAGCTTCGATAGCTGTGAAAAGGAGCAACAGCACCTTCATACTGTGATGAGAATCGGAAGCACAATATTCAGACTTCATAAAATGATCAATGCCTCTCCCTGCTCTGCAGTCATGTCTTTTATCAATTCCTCTGGCAAACACTGCTCCAATTTCAAGTAACTCCCTCTACGTCTCTGAATATTCTCTGCTTCTCTAACTCATTGTGTCTTTGCACATGACAACTCTTGTACCAGGGACCTTCTTTCCATTTTATCTTGTTAATATCTATTCATCCTTCAAATATAGATTTAAGTATTATTATCATCTGAGAGACATTATTCCCTTAAAGTTGATTGGAATCCTATACTAAATCCTCTCACAAAATCTGATACTTCCTAGTCAATACATTTATCACCATGTGTTGGTATGTCTGTTTAATTGTTGTTACTTCTATAATACGAGCTCTACCTAGTTAGGAACAGAGATTTCAGGGTGAGTGAGAAAGGGTTGACAAACAGTAAAATATTTGAGTACTAGCTGAAAGATTGGCAATTTGAACCCAGCCAGAGATGCATCAGAAGGCAGACCAGATGATCTGCTTGGTTGGTTGGTTGGTTTTGTGCCGCGGAGTCGGTTCCGACTCATAGCGACCCTGTACAGGGTTTCCGAGGCTGTAAATCTTTATGGGCGCAGAAAGCCTCATCTTTCTCCCGTGGAATAGCTGGTATTTTCGAACTGTTGACCTTGCGGTTGGCAGCCCGATTCGTAACCAATATGCTACCAGAGCTCCGTGGTGATCTGTTTACAGAGAGTTATAGAGCAGCTCTGTTTCACACACATTATGGGATCTCCCTGAGTAACAACTGACTTGAGAAGCATTAACAACAGCATTTAGGGACTAAGCAAACTGTACAGTACCAAATAAAAATAGGCCTTTTATAATGACTTCATGAGATCTGAGTTTGCTATAGGATCTTGAACTGTACCTTTTGGATCCTAGAATTTCACATCTATGGGTAGTTGATCACTTGCTGGTTTTTATTAATTTTGACAGTGAACTAAACTGTTCTTTGGAAAAGATGTACTTCATTTACTGAGTAATCTTTTCCCTCCAAATTCTCATATTTTCCTCTCTGCCAACCCCCTAGACTGTTAAGGGCAGCAGTTCAAACTCACCAGCCACTCCTCAGAAACTTTATACAGGGTTGCTCTGAGTTGAAACTGACTCGACAGCCCTTAACAACAAAAGCAACAATATTGATTGAACACATTTATACTCTTTAACTTTTATTTTGAAATATATATTTCCTTCTTAGAATAACAATCCTAGCTCAGTTTATTCCTAAATATTCCTAGTTTTTGTTTTTCTTTTAATCTTTGAAAGAGGTTTGTTTTTGATGTTGTTAAATGCTATTGAGTCAGTTTTGAATCATAGTGATCCTGTACGGGGTTTTCCAAAGAATAGCTAGTGGGTTTGACCTGCTGAACTTGTGGTTCAAAGTCCAGCTCTGATCCTACAGCGTTGCACCAGGAGGCCTATCAAAGTTAACAAACTATTAATTTTAAATAGTGGCATACATATTAAATGAATTAAGAAGAGAAGATCGGAAACAAATACACAACCTCAAACAAGTAACAGAATTATCTGAGGCACAAACACATAAACCCTAGCTATAGAACTGACAAAGGGAAGACAGCCTGATTGACAGCTGTTCAGGTATTCACAGCCTTAGAATTGTGACCTTTTCATTCATGTACCACTTGCATTTCATCTACTTCCAAGTGGGAATCATAGTGAATCTTGAAAATCCTGCCCTCTAGATAAACTTTGATAAAGATGTCCAGCCTAAAGCAAAACCCAGACTCATTGTAATTAAGTAGATTCCAACTCACAGAGACCCTAGAGGATAGCGCTACTCCATAGGGTTTCTAAGGCTTGAAATCTTCACAGAAATCTTTTCAAAAACAGATTGCCATACCATTCTCCTGCAGAGTGGCTAGTGGATTCAAACTGCTGAACTTTTGATTAGTGGCCAGAGCACCTTCATCACTGTTCCAGCAAGAGTCCTTGCCCAGCCCAACGATGTTCTAATTCAGTTCTTCAACAGTCGTTAAACTACACCTGGCCCTCAGATTACGAATCCAGTAATCCTGCTTCAGAATTCAGTCACTAAAGGCAGAAAATTTTGCTGACTGTTGTTAATAATAAGCAAAACTCAGAATTTTTGTGTTCATTGACTACTAAGCATCAAAGGATATTACACTGAGGGACAGATATTAGTGACTCCTTTCCAGCCTCTGATACCTTTCATTGACCATTACATCCATATTCGTGTCATCAGGTTTTTTCCCATCAATGGTCCACCAAACCTCGTTTCGAGAATCCTTCAGGAAAGTGAAATCAACTTTACAGGGGATAAGGAGATCCTCTCCTAAAAAACACAAGTGAGAACATGGCCTTCACCAATCAATTTGTAACTTTTACATGGCTACAATTTTTCAACTCTATTTCTAATTAAAAACTAAGAAGTGATATGTATATAAAACCTTATTGTTGTTGTTAAGTGCTGTCGAGTCAATTCTGACCCATAGAGACTCTATATAGGGTTTCCAAGGAGCAGCTGGTGAGCTTGAACCACCCATATAAAACCTAACTTATGAATATTTTGAAAACAGACTACCATAAATTAATAAATCATACGGCAATCCAAATGAAAAAAGCAAATACATCACCAGAAACTACCAGAATGACCACCATTTTAAAAACGTTATTTGTCTAATTGTGGTAAATACTTATGTAACAAATGATTTGCCATTTCAAAATGCTTTTCATGCACATTGAGTGACATTAATTATGCTTGTTGTATTTTCAACCATTATTAAAAACTAAAAAGCAAATTAAACCCATTACTCTCAAGCGGATTCCTACTCATAGTAACGCTATAGGACAGTGTAGAATTGTCCCATAGGGTTTCCAAGGCTGGATATCTTTACAAAAGCAGACTGCCACTTATTTCTCCTACAGAATGGCTAATGACAGCCTTTAAATAAATGGCCAAGAGACTTAATCACACATATTATGCTTATTAATTTTCCCACAGTGGTTACAAGTCAAGCTGCTAACCTCAAGGTCAGTAGTTTGAAACTACCAGATGTTCCGCAGAAGAAAGATGAGGCTTTCTACTCCCATAAAGATTTAAAGACTTGGAAACCCTATGTAAGGTTGCTCTGAGCCAGAAGTGACTCCACAGCACACCACTACCCCCTTACCAGAAGCTTAGTGTCCTCAAAGCAGTGAGACCCCTTTTCTGCTCTCTCCTATCTGTTCCTAAAAACTTCAGTCTTTATACACATACCTATACTATGAAAGGTCGGCAGATCAAGCTCACAAGCTGCTCCTTGGAAACCTTATATAGGGTTGCTATGGGTTGGAACTGACTTGATGGCACTTTACAACAACAACATACTAGATAAGTACATATAAGTACAATCATCTTTCAAGACAATCTATACATAGTCTAGGAGCTTTTAGTAGGTTAAATGTTGGGCTACTAAGCAAAAGGTCTGCTGTTAAAATCCACCAACTACTCTGTGGGAGATAAATGAGGAATTCTGCTTTCTTAAAGATTTACAGTCTCAGAAACCCTAAGGAGCAGTTCTATACTGTGCTCTATAGGGTTCATATGAGTTGAAATGAACTTGAAAGCAGTGGGTTTATATTATTCATTCATTCATTCATTCATATTGGGATGGGGCTGGAGGGTAAATGATCTTGTTTAATCTTAACAAAACACTAGAAAGTATTTTAAAATATCATAGTTGACAGATGAGAAACTGAACATTAAATATTTTTATTGACATTCCTAGGTCAAATTGTTAATGAGTGCCAGACCAGGATTTGACTTAGATTGGCCTTATATCATAGTTTACCCTGGACAATCTGCTTTATTCTTGCTCATTTGACTAAACATTAAGATTGCCCATTTTACCTTTTAAAAGCTATCTGGGTTTAGAAGTTAACTTATACGGCTGAACTGGATTTTGAACTCAAGATTTTCTAAGTGTTCATAGGCTATCATCTCTTTCACTGCATGGTTCTCATGTCCTTTCCCCTCTAATTTTCTACATCAACATGCGACCAAGGAAAAACAAATGGGTCTGGATTTGGGAATGTTTTTGTAACTATAATAGTATGAGTATATGAAACATATTTAGTTGATCAGTATTATGAACTCTTCCTGACAGTAGGAAGAATGTTTGTAATATAGATATCCCTGCATTTGGAAGCTCACTTTATGCTACTTTGCTTTTAAGAAAAAACATATAATTAGTAACTGTTTTCATTAACCTAAAGAAATTAGAAGAGTACTTTTGCTTTTATGAAAAAGACAAAAACTGAAACTAGCATTAAAAGTTTGTTTTGCAGAGAGACGTAAAAGAGGCCTTGCGCACCCCACAGTGAAAGTGGTGTGCCCTGGGAGCCTCACTCAACATCTCTCTTTCATGGCTTTGAACTGAGTCTGTGAACATTATATGTTCATGATATTTTAGGTTTTTGTATGTTATTTGGTATAATTTAGTAAGTCAGTTTTTTTGAGTTTGGGGACACTCAAAAATTTTACCATATACATGAATGGTACTTACTTTTTCACATTGTATCATTTTGGCTTATGGATTAATTTCATAGAAATGCTCTACTTTTGGATAGTGGAGATGGGGATTGGCTAACTCCACTGGCATCAAGTAGATTCTAACTCATACAGACCAAGTTGTTGTTGTTTTAAAGTGCCTTCAAGTCGGTTCTGACTCACAGAGACCCTGTATACGATGTTGCTGTTGTTGAGTGCTGTCGAAGTCAGTTCCAACCCATAGTGACACTGTATAGGATTTCCAAGGAGCATCTGGTGAGCTTGAACTGGTGACCTTTGCAGTTCAATGCATGAACCCAAAGCACCACACCAGGACTTTGTGGCAGATAGGATAGAACAGGATCGAGTTAAACTGCCCATAGGCCATCCAAGGAAACACACTGTCACATCTTTCTTCAGCAGAGAAGCTGGTGAGTTGTGAATAAAGCTAATAATTGAGTCACCTGATTACTAGAAAAGACTTGTCCCAAGTCTGACTCCATTATGATTAGCGTAAGACTGAAGCCTGACATGTCTATAAGATTCCATTGTGTTCTGCTAGATAAGTAACTTTTAGAGTAGAATGCAGAAACTTAAACAATGCAATATACTTTGTAAAGAAATGTTTTCTGGGGTAATATTTGTCCACAAAGTCTTGAAATAACATTGGTACAACATCAGGGATGTAGCAGAGGATTTCTTGCTAGATTGGCTATAGGAAAGCTAGCAGCTTATGAAATTTTTAACTTACTATTTTTTTTTGCCTATGAAACACAGACCTAGTTTTTATATTCATATTTTGCCATTCATTTTCTTTGTTTTTTTTAAAAAAATTTTTATTGTGAATTGAGTGAAGATTTACAGCACAGACCATCAGTCCCACATTCAACAAGTCATACACTTCATTGTATTACAATGATTAAAATGCCGGGTTACCTGTATTTCCCTCTATTCACTTTAACACTTGCATGCTCTCTGTGTCTTCCACTACCTTTCCCTTTTCTTAATGGTGTCCTGGTGTTGCTCTGCAGGATACTCATTGGACTGCTAACTGAAAGGTCTGTAGTTCTAACTTACCAACTGCTCCTCAGAAATACTACGCAACTGATTAAAATACACTAATGATGCTGTTTTGTTTAAAATACAATGTTGTTATTTGTTGTTAAGTGCCAAAGAATCAGCCAACTCAAATACACTTAAATAATAACAACACAGTCTTAATAAAAACAAACATACAAATAAAACTGTCACTGAGTGGAGGATTCTGATTCATAACAATGAGGCTATAAATCACCTCCTTTTACAGAAAGAGATGAACAGAAAGCCTTATCTTTCTCTTGCAGAGCAGTTAAGGGGTTTGAACTTCCAAACTTGAGCTTAGCAGTCTGATGCAATAAAGCTACCAGGGCTCCTTAATTGTCTTAGCTGTTGCTGTTGTTAAATGCTGTCCAGTAAGTTTAGACTCAGAGAGACCTGTACAGGGTTTCCGAGGAGCAGTTAGTGTGTTTGAACTGCCATCCTCATGGTTAACAGTCCAGTGCTGATTCTACAGAGCCACATCAGGATCCCATCCATTGTGCTTGTAACTATATTACACCTGTTTTGTTTATTGGGTAAAAATCCTCTTGTACTCTTTGCTCTGTAGAACACTGTGTGGAGAGTCTCTATACCTTGTGTTTAGTGTTTAGCAATTCTCAAAGTATTTCTTCTCTCAAATATATGCTGCAATTTTACTATACACAGACTCTCTAATTAGGCACTAAAACAGTTTGAACCACTTAGCTTTCAGTTAGCAGCCGAGCTTTATATGTAGTTGGAAGAAGTTTAGTGCATTCTCTGGTTGTTGGTTTTTGTGTATGTATTTTTCATGACAGATTACTATTTACAGACATTTTTTCATTATTATTTCCTGTTGTGACTGTCTTCCACCTATTTTGATCACTGCCTTTATTGTCTTTAGTGTATCTTAAACAAATGCTCTTTTTTACCTCTTAATTAAGATTGGAGATAATTTATTATAAAGTCTTAATATAGAGAACATTTCATTTTTATGGCTTTCAACGTAACTATGGAAGTCAGAATAACAAAGAATGCATGTTTTTGATGTATCTAGAATGAAAACTAAAAGAAGAACCAGGAAAACCATCTGACTGAATTGTGAATCTGGGATGTTAGGGTTATCAGCTGTCACCCATCACAGTTAGAGTTCTAGCTCTAAACTTCACCCCTACCACCTTCCAGTAGAAGCCTTGTGTTGATATTGCAGGTTTAGCAAACCTAAAGCCCTACACAAATGACGTTTGCATCAAGCAGAAGTCACTAATCTGCAGAGGATCATGAGCAGAGGGAGAAGGGAGCAGATGTATAGACAGAATCCCTGAGCTTCCCACAAGATTGAAGCAGCTGATCCCCAGAGCTGCCTTGTTTTCTGATAACATCTCACCTTCAAGTTTTTCTGTACAATACCTTCCATCTTTCTTGTTAAGGAAGTGACACTTTATTCATTGTAATTATGAGTAATCTAACTGAAATTCAGAGCCAACACAAGCACAGTTATAATTACCTGGTTCTTTCTCATAGATAACAATGTCATTGGGTGAACGGATCTGGGGGGGCAATGCATCTCCTGGTGAGCCTGTAATAGAGTGATAGGAACAAAAGAGATGGTGTTAAAATATATACCTTTATTCCTTATAATAAATTTCAAAAATGTCTTCTTTTGTTAAGTCTCACCCAAAACTTCCTTATATATTTGTCAGTTCTTCATAAATGGACTCCTAGTCCATGCATACTCAACTGCACCACTTCATCCATTTAGAACAAATAATGGAACAATTGCATAGACCAGATTTCAGGATAGAATATTTAACCAGTGTTTCCGCTCTACAAAACTCTCATGAAGTAAACTTTTCATGTTGTTGTTAAGTGTCAGTGAGTGTGCTCTAACACATAGAGACCTTGTATAGGGTTTTTGGAGCTGTACATCTTAGAGGAAGCAGAAAGCCTCATCTTTCTCCTGCAGAATGTCTCTAGGCTTAAAATGTGGACCTTGTTGTTCACAGTCCAGTTCTATAATGAGAGCAAGCTTACCTCAGTGTCTTTTTAAAATTAAATTACATAATGCATATAAAGCATCACTAGTGTGGCACTGTAGGGTACATACTGGAATGCTCAAATCAAGGTCAGTGGGTCAAATCTACCAGCCACTCCTCAAAAACCTTATAAAGGGTAGCTATGAGTCTGAACCAACTCATAGGCACTTAACAAGAAATATATAGTGAGTACTCAATAATTTGTTGTATTACAGAATGATCTGCTATCACTTGAATGAAGAAGCCTACATCTGTGTCAGTGTATTTTTATATCTATAAATCAGGGTGACCAAGCATGCCTGCTTCCAACGTTCCAAACGCCAATAAGTTTGTGAGCATGGATGTATGTGTGCAATTAGAACATATTTAGATTATTTGATATAAAACACTGTCATTTAAATTATTAAAGGTATTTACCAAAATGAATACAAGGTTAGATTATTCATTTGACTCCAAAATGAGTAAGTTATGTTAGGTTCTAAATTAACTCTTTTTTTGTTTGTTTTTTTCTGAATAAATCTTCAACTTAGATTACTCTATTCTACCAAAAAGTAAACAGGGAAAAAGAGAATTGACTACAAGTTTTCTTGATTTGAATTGTATGTGCACTATGATTAAGTCTTTTTGTGTTTGTACTGAATATGGTATGAGGCTACTAGAAAAAAGCTCAGGAATCTTCAGTTTAGTGTCACTTCTTCAAGGTGTCTCTAATCGTTGTCTGGAATAGCACTGAGCTCTATCTATATAGTATTTGTAATATGAGCAACTATCTGAAAGTCAGGGTGTGTTTGTCCCATAGGATAGGTAAGGGCACTAGATCCTGATCAAAGTCATCTGCTCAATAATAGCAGATACAATTTGAACACAGAGATACCTCATTGTCTTTTTTTCCTCCCTAAATGGTCTCTACTTCATTCATTCACATTTCCATCTCCATACAGTCAACCACTAATTACTGAATGCTTATTATGTACTTGGAATATCTGAAGGCACTGTACAATGTGCAATGAACAAAAGGATAAGCTTCTTTTCTCTTACAGAGTTTATGAACTTATATGTAATAAATTATTAAGAACGTTTCTTATATGTGCACTTAGTAAAAATCATGCTTACCTACCACCCTTACAGTAAAACTTCTGGTAAGATGGAAGGTTCGTCCATTTTCTGGATATGTAACAACACATGAGTAATTGCCATTAAGTGAAACAGTAGTAAAGGTAAAACTCAAGTTCATGCCTTCTGGCTTTACAAAATTAAAGTCATGTACTTTGGTACAGCCCTAGAAGAAATGAAAGAAAAAATGTTTAGTATTTAAATATATGCACAAAATATATCAACGCTCATCTAATTTTCCATAGAACATGCAAATGTCAATGCTGTGCTTTTTACAAAATTATAGTGATCGAGTATTTGATAGTGTTTATGTCTTCTGGAATGAAATATCATTGCTGACATCTATCACATAGATCTTGGCTGGAGGTAGAGATTATAAAGATGTTTACTTTTGCTTTATTGTCTATGCAGAGGCATTTGAAAATGTGGATCATAACAAGCTATGGATAACATTGTGAAGAATGGGTACTCCGAAACTTTCCACTATGCTCAAGAGGAACCTGAACAAAGAGATAGTCGTTTGAACAGAAAAGGGGATACTGAATGGTTTAAAATCAGGAAAGGTTTAAAATCAGGAAAGAAGCCCAGGTTGTATACTTTCACCATGCTTAATTTATATGCTGAGCAAATAATTTGAGAAGATGGATTATATGAATAAAAATGTGGGATCAATGTGGAGGAAGACTTCTTTAACTACCTGTGATATGCAGATGGTGCAAACTTGCTTTCTGGAAGTGAAGAGGACTTGAAATACTTATTGATGAAGATCAAAACTATACCCTTCAATATGGACTGCATTTCAATACAATCCTCAGAACTGGACCAATAAATAACACATCATGATAGGTGGAGAAACTATTGAAGTTGTAAACAATTTCATTTTACTTGTATCCACATTCAATGCTCATGAATGCAGCAGTCAAGATTTCAAATGACATATTTCATTAGGCAAGTCTGCTCAGAAGGCTTCTTTAAAGTAATAAAAAGAAGAGGTTAACTTTAAGGACTAAGGTGTACCAGACCTAGGCCATGGTATTTTTAATCTCCTCATATACAAGCAAAAGTTGGACAATGAATAAGGAAGACTGGTTAAGAATCAATGCATTTGAATTATGATGTTGAAAAAGAATACTGAATATATGATGGATTGTCAGAAGAACAAAAAATTCTGTTTTAGGGGAAGTACAGCCCTACTATCAACACTCATGGAAGCAGCAGTCAAGAAATTAAACGACGTATTGCCATTAGGCACATCTGCTGCACAAGACCTTTTTAAAATGTTGAAGAGCAAAGACGTCAGCTTGAGGACTAAGGGGTGCCTGACCCAAGCCATGGTATTTTCAATAACCTCATATACATGGAAGTGCTGGACAGTAATTAAGGAAGACCGTAGAAGAATTGATGCTCTTGAGTTGTGGTGTTGGAGAAGAATACTGAAAGTGCCATGGGCTGCCAAAAGAACCAACAGATCTGTGTTGGAAGAAGTGCAGCCAGCGTGCTCATCAGAGGCCAGGATGGCCAAACTTTGTCTCACATACTTTGGACATATTGTCAGGAGGGACCAGTTGCTGGAGGATATCATGTTTGGTAAGGTGGAGAGTCAGAGAAAAAGAGAAAGATCCCCAGCGAGATAGATTGGCAAAATGGCAGCATCGATGGACTCAAGTGTGGCAACAATAGTGTGGTTGGCCCAGGATTGGGCAGTGTTTCATTCTGCTGTACACAGGGTCACTATGAGTTGGTACTGACTTTATGGCACCTAACAACAACAGCACTACTGTTCCTTAAAAGTGACAATTTTGAGGGTCACTATGAGTTGGTACTGATTCGATGGCACCTAAAAACAACAACAACAACCCTACTGTTCCTTAAAAGTGACAATTTCGAGACTTCATCTCTTGCACTCTGAACATGTTGTCAGGAAGGACCAGTCCCTGGAGAGTAACATCATATTTGGTAAAGTGGAGGGTCAGTGAAAAAGAGGAAGACTCCCAACAGTATGGATTGGGACAGTACTAGTAACAATGAGCTCAAATGTAACAGCAATTGTGAAGCTGATGTAGGACCGGGCAATGTTTTGTTCTGTTGTTCATTGCGTCAATATGAGGTGGGACCAACTCATCAGCACCTAACAACAACAACAACATGCAAATAGTGATTAGAACAAATGTCATCTTTGTTGTAGAAAGAAAAGTTAAAACTCCTAATTATAACATGCATTCAGCAGAACAGACTTCTTATCTCAAAATTCAGTATTCAAGCTCTGCAAAGTCCATGTTAATCAAGGTTAAAGATTTAAGATAATGACTAAAGAAACCTGAACAACTGCCATGTACTGATATTTAGGAAAAAACTTTTTTATCTTTGTACATTTCTTCAAGGATGATATTAATTCAGAAATGTCATCATTCTGTCTGATAAGCCAGGCTTCAATTTAGAGGCTCAATTTTGGCATTTTTGATTTCTTTGTTGAATCTCTATATCGGGCATTTCCAAATGTTTTGCTTGTTTGTTGTGGGTTGTTTTTTTTGTTTTGTGTGTGTGTGTGTGTGTGTATTTAATGCCATTTCTATAATTGAATATCATAATTGATAATCTGAAAATAAGGATTTTTATTATTGCTGTTGTTTGGCTTTTTTAAAATGAACTTTAAAGAAAACTGACCAAAAATCCAATGCCAGAGGTTGGGACAAGATTCTTATGATTCAATTGTTGTTGTTGTTATGTGACGTGGAGTCAATTCTGACTCATAGCGACCCTGTACAGGGTTTCCAAGGCTGTAAATCTTTACGGAGCAGAAAGCCTCATCTTTCTCCCACGGAACAGCTGGTAGTTTCAAACTGCTGACTCTGAGGTTAG